CACATATTAGGACACAGGCTAAGTCTTTATAAATTCAAGAAGATTAAAATTATATCAAACAACTTCTCAGATCACAATGGCATACAATTAGAAATCAACTACAATAAAAAATCAAACACTTGGAGGCTAAAGAGCATATTATTAAACAATGATTGCATTAGCAAAGAGATCAAAGAAGAAATAAAAAACATTCTGCAAACAAATGACAATGAAATTACAACAATTGAAAATCTATTGAACAGAGTGAAAGCAGTCCTAAGAGGGAAGTACATAGCATGACAGGCATACCTCAAAAAAACAAGAGAAACTGGTAATAAATAATCTAACTCTGTAACTTGAACAATTAGAAAGAGAAGAACAAGAAAAGCCCAGAGTAAGCAGAATGAAGGAAATAATAAAGATCAGAGTGGGAATAAATAACATAGAGACAAAAAAAAGAGCTGGTTCTTTGAAAGCATAAACAAGATTGATGAACCACTACCCAGGCTCACCAAGAAGCAAGAGAGAGGACCCAAATAAACAAAATCAGAAATGAAAGAAATGAAGTAATATCAGACCCCATAGAAATACAAAGGATTATGAAAAAAATACTGTGAACATCTCTATTCCAACAAATTGGTCAACCTAGATAAAATGGAAACATTCCTAGAAAAATACAATCTTCTGAACTCAATCAGGAAAAAAAAAAATCTGAATAGGCTGGTAACTATGGAAGAAATTGAAGCAGTAATAAAAACCTTCCATCAAACAAAATCTCTGGTCCCGATGGCTTCACAGGGGAGTTTTACCAAACATTCATAGAACTAAAACCTATCTTTCTCAAACTATTCCAAAAAATTCAAGAGGAAGGCATACTTCCAAGCTCTTTCTATGAACACACCAGTGCCCTAATCCCAAAACCAGATAAAGACAAAATAAAGAGAATTACAAGCCATATCCCTGATGAACATAAGTGCTAAAATCCTCAACAAAATCCTACCAAACTGGATCCAGGATTACATTAGAAAGACCATATACCATGACGAAGTGGGATTTATTTTGGGGATGCAAGGCTGGTACAATATCCACAAATCAATAAACATAATATATCACATAAACAAATTGAGAGACAAAAACATATAATCATATCAATTGATGCAGAAAAAGCATTTGACAAAATCCAACACTCTTGCTTGATAAAAACTTTCAGCAAAATGGGAATAGAGGGATCATACCTCAACATAATAAAAGCCTTATATGACAAACTTACAGTCAACATCACACTCAATGGGCAAAAATAAAACCATTTTCTCTAAGAACAGAAACAAGAAAGGGATGCACACTTTCACCACTCCTGTTACACAAAGTATTGGAAGTACTAGCCATAGTGATATGACAAGAAGAAGAAATAAAAAGCATCCAAATTGGAAAAGAAGCAAAACTGTCTTCTTTTGCAGATGACATGATATTGTACATAGAAAGCCCTAAATACTGCATCAAGAAACTACTAGACTTAATAATCGAATTCAGCAATGTAGAAGGATACAAAATTAACACCCAGAAATCTATGGCTTTTTAAAAAATACACCAATAATGAACTCACAGAAAGAGAAACTAAAAAAAATGCCATTTACCATTGCACCCCCCCCCAAAAAAAAGATACCTAGGAGTAAACTTAACTAAGGAGGTAAAAGACCTGTACTCAGAAAACTATAGGATGCTGAAAAAAGATATAGAGGAAGACATGAACAAATGGAAGAATATACCATGTTCATGGATTGGTAGAATCAACATCATTAAAATGCCCATACTACCCAGAACTATGTATAGATTCAGTGCAATCCCCATTAGGATACCAATGGAGTATTTCAAAGACCTAGAACAAACTCTCCAAAAATTCATCTGGAGTAAAAAAAGACCCCAAATAGCTGCAGCAATCCTGAGAAAGAAAAAGAAAGTTGGAGGGATCACAATACCAGATATCAAGCTATATTGCAAAGCCACTGTTCTCAAAACTGCCTGGTACTGGCACAAGAACAAATATTTAGACCAATGGAACAGATCAGAGAACCTAGAAATCAATGCAAGCCATTATGTTCAATTAATATTTGACAAAGGAGACAAGAGCATATGATGGAGTCCAGACAATCACTTCAATAAATGGTATTGGAAAAATTGTACAGATACATGCAAAAAAATGAAACTAGACTACCAATTTAAACCATACACAAAAATAAAATGGATCAAGGACTTAAACATAAGATGGAAAAAAAACATAAAAATCTTAGAAGAAGCCATAGACAGCAAAATATGAGACAATAAATAACTGGGACTACATCAAAATAAAAGGCTTTTGCACAGCAAAAGAAGCCATCAACAAAACAACAACAAAGCCCAGTGCATGGGAGAACATATTCGCCAATCTTATATCCAACTCAGAGGCCCGGTGCACGAAATTTGTGCACTTGAGGGGGGATTCCCTCAGCACAGCCTGCACCCTCTTCTGGTCCGGGACCCCTCAGGGGATGTCCACCTGCTGGCTGAGGCCTGATCCTCGGGGGATGGGCCTAAGCTGGCAGTCAGACATCCCTCTCACAGTCCGAGACTCTTACAGTCCCGGACCCCTTTATCCTTACCACCCATCTGCAGCGGAGGCAAGAGAGGCTCTTGCCACAGCTGCTGCACTTGCCAGCCATGAGACTGGCTTCTGGCTGATCGGTGCTCCCCCTGTGGGAATGCACTGACCACCAGGGGGCAGCTCCTTCGTTGAGCGTCTGCCCCATGTTGGTCAGTGCGCATCATAGCGATTGGTCGTTTCACCAGTTGTTCCACTGTTCGGTCAAGTTGCATATTAGGGTTTTATTATATAAGATAAGGGTTTAATCTCCAAGATTTATAGGGAACCCATATAACTTAACAAAAGGAAGATAATCCAATAAAAAAATGGGCAATAGACCTAAATAGACACTTTGAAAGTAGACATACAGAATGCCAAGAGACATATGAAAACATGCTCAAAGTCACTAATCATCTGAGAGATAAAAATCAAAATGACAATTATGTATCACCTCACACCTGTCAGAATGGCTATCATCAACAAATCAACAAATGACAAGTGCTAGTGAGGATGCGGAGAAAAGGGAACACGCATGCACTGCTGGTGGGAATGCAGACTGGTGCAGCCACTGTGGAGAACAGTATGGACTTTCCTCAAAAAATTAAAAATAGAACTGCCATTTAACCCAGTGATCACACTTCTAGGACTATACCCCAAGAAATTAGAAACACCAATCAGAAAGGATATATGCACCCCTGTGTTCACAGCAGCACAATTTACAATAGCTAAGATTTGGAAACAGCCTAAGCACCTATCAGCAGGTGAGTGGATTAAAAAACTGTGGTACATCTACACAATGGAATACTATGCTGCTGTAAAAAAGAAAGAACTCTTACCATTCGCAACAGCATGGATGGACCAGGAGAGCATTATGCTAAGTGAAATAAGCCAGTCATAGAAAGATAAATAGCACATGATTTCACTCATTTGTGGAATATAATGAACAACACAAACTGATGAACAAAAATAGATCCAGAGACAGAGAAGCATCCAACAGACTAGTAAACCTCAGAAGGAAGGCAGAGATACTTAGGAGGGGGTGGTGATAAGAGATCAATCAAAGGACTTGTGTGCATGCATACAAGCATAACCAATGGTCACAGTCAGTGGGGAGATGAGGGCTTGTGCTGGGGTGTGGGAGTGGGCGGGGAGAGGTTAATGGGGGAAAAGGGAGAGAGATATATATAATACTTTCAACAATGAAGAACTAAAAGAAGTACTAATAATATTCCAGAAACTTTTTTGATTAGCTAATAATCAAGTGCTTAAAATCTGACTGACAGTATACATGGGTAGGCAAAATAGGTTTACAGTAGTGAGTACACAAAAGGTTATTCTTAAATTATTTGTTTGTATTTTTCCATATGAACAATTGTAAACCTACTTTTGCCCACACCTGTATATGTTGTCAATGATAAAGTTAAGCTTTCACATGAAAGAAAGAATCTGGGAAGCTATTGTCTGTCACCACAAGCTGGAGAGTTTCTGTACACTTCTCTGATGAGATCAGTGGAGTTGTTAACTAATGGTTGTTTTTTACAGACAAAAATAGGTACAATGAAAACAGCAATTTGGATCCTATTATGAAACTATGAGTCTCCATTCTAGTTTAATGGAGTCCAACCAAGCCAAATCTATGAAGGGTTCCATCAGTGACAGTGGATTCCTGAGCACGTGCTTTTAGGAGCAGGTTCGCTATAGCTAATCATAACACTGGCAATGGCTAAGTGGATTTTTGTCTGGGTCAGCCTTATCTGAGGAGAGCAATGTAGATAAATCCAATATGAATGTGGTAACCAAATTCTGTACCTCAAATCTGAAGAATTTACTAATAAATATGGTTATCTTTCTTATTATTAGCCTTATTAATAATAATTATAATCAGAAAAAATTAAGTTATGAATACTTTGTAAGATAGCATTTTTATATCTCGTAATTTTTTATATTAGTATGCATTTTGTATGAGCAAATATGTACGTACTATGAGAGTAATAGCAAAAAATTGGAAACCACTTAAATGTGCATTGAGAAAACTAGTTAATTATAGTACTTCTTCACAATGAAATATACAGCTTTGTAATAAAAAAGGAGTGTGTCTATATGGGAAGAGGAAAATATAAAGCATTAGGTAAATATAGCACGGTGTAGATTAGAAAGTTTAAAATTCTTTTATTCGAGAGTATAACTGGGGGTTTATTGTAAAGCAATGGGAACTTTTAATTTTACACATTTCTGATTTCTTTTACAGTTACCATAATTGTCTTTATAAAAAATAAGAAAATCTGGGAATAAATAATATCTGTTACATTTCTTACCTTCTTACCCACTGTCTCACACACCCTGCCTTATTCTACCTTTCTGGGAATCAAATAGTAAAGGCAAAATTTTCAAGGCAAACACTTACCCTTTATTTCTAAGTTGAGCAGAAGATTAATCCCCAGTGCCAGTGCAACATTTGAGCTGAGACAGGCAGCCACCTTGTTGGCGATGGTTATCTGTCCATAGTTACCAATAATGGATTTAAATGGAAAGAAACTGGCAAAATATAGGAAACTTCCAGCAGAAGCAGCCAAATGGGCTACAAATGAAAATTATAAGGTCACTTTTAAGCAATATGCAAAATAATGAATTACAAAAAACTTTTTATCTATATAAAAGGCTAATATGCTAAGTGTCCGACTGCCCGACCAGTTGCTGTGACAGGCACTTATCACCAGGGGTCAGATGCTTAATGCAGGAGCTGCTGAGCTGCAGTTAGTTGGCAGCGGCAATTCTCGGGTGATGCACCCTGAAACCAGAGAGGCACCTTGGGCTGAGGGTTATGTTGTTGTTGGGGCACTATCGGCCCTGAATCTGGTTTACTGTACACTTGCATTTGTGTCCGGGACCCCCCAGAGCAGTGATGGCGAACCTTTTGAGCTCGGCGTGTCAGCATTTTGAAAAACCCTAACTTAACTCTGGTGTCGTGTCACATATAGAAATTTTTTGATATTTGCAACCATAGTAAAACAAAGATTTATATTTTTGATATTTATTTTATATATTTAAATGCCATTTAACAAAGAAAAATCAACCAAAAAATGAATTCACGTGTCACCTCTGACACGTGTGTCATAGGTTCGCCATCACTGCCCAAAGGATGTTGGAGAGTCAGTTTCCACCCAATCTCTGCAGGCCAGACCAAAGGACCCCACCTGCTGGAGGGACCCTGCTCACTCTGCAGACGCTCTTTTGAATAACGGCACTGCCCCAGGTGTGGCCAGCTGGGGAGGGACTGCGAGAGGTTGGCTCCAGGGCATGTCTGGCCTGTATCACCCAGTACCCCCTGCCAGCCACCTTCTAATTAATTTCCTTTCAATGCGTAGGAATCCATGCACTGGGTCACTAGGTAAGGATATAAAGAAGAAGCCACATCAAGACTGGTAGGATGGGTGGAGATGCGGATTGTGCTGGTCTCATACTCACCTGTGGCAGATAAAAATCAAGAGGAATATCTCAGCTGAAAAAGTCTTCCCCATCTCCTCTCAGGAGAGAGGGATCCCAGCTCCATACCAGGCCTCAAGGATTGTGGCTGAGTGAGGAGGAGAGCTGCTGAAGTCTCAGGCATCCCTCTTAAAGGGCCAGCATAGGAACTTTGACTCAGCCCCTCTGAGCTCCACGGAAGGGGCATCAAATTGAAAGGCACCAGGGACGTATGGAGAGGAATTGAATCATCTGGTATCAGGGCCAGAGCTAGAGGAAGCTTTCTCCCAGACAGACGTGCTGGCAGAGGCCAGCGTTCCTTTTCTGAGCCTG